AAACAAATTATGTCATTTCAAGAAGTGGATAGAACTGCAGATCATATTAAAAGCAAAATTAACCAAACATAGAAATACAAATTTCACATTGTCAATTTATGTGCAGAATTTACATTACACACACACACACACACACACACGAAATGAAAGTAGGTAGGGACTACTCACAGGGTGGAAAAAGACTAATGTCATGAGAGTGAAGAACAAGTAGGGGAAATAAGTGGACTTTTTTCGGGGGAAGAAGGGGTCAGTGGTGGGAAGAGCAGGGACAAGACTGAATAATGGATTAATGAATATGGGCAAAGTAAAATGATAACATTTGCAAAAATTTCATAACTCATTATCTAAAATTAAAACATACAGAAGAGATTAAAAACAGTCTTGTCATAAGGCAAAATTTCTCTATAACAAACCATTAAGTCTCAGCAAAGAAATTGGAGATGCAAAGAATAATTAATTGGACATTTTAGAACAGCAAAAAAAAAACAAAACAAGCAAGTAAATAAACAAACAAACAGCAATAACAAAAGAACCTCTCACTGGATGGGTTAAAGAGCACACGTGAAAAGAGAAAGGAAAATTTCATAACTTTAAAAATACAAAGGAAAGTTTATAACATGAGTAAAACTGAAAATTAATCATAAAACCCTGAATAGATTCCAGAATCGTTTAGGCACATAATATGTGTCTAATATTCACAGCATTAGAGTCCTGGAAAGAAAAAAGAAAGGTGATAGAGTGGAAAGAATACTCAAAGAAATAGTTGCTAAGAATTTCCCCATATTAGCAAACTCCATTAACATATGGGTATATAAATAGGGGGAGAGAGAGAGAGAGCAAATAGATAAGTCTGAAGAAATCCATTCCCTGACAAATCAGAAAAAAACTTCTTAAAATAAAAAACAAAACAAGAAGAAGCAATAGAAACCTTAGTTACTAGGAAAATCAGTTAAAATAACAGCAGATTTCTCATCAGAAGACACAGAGACCAAAAAGAACTGATAAAGTATATTTAAAATGCTGGAGGAACAGTAATGTCAACTATACATTTTATAACAAATGAAACTGGATTCCTTTTATAATGAGCAATCATGGGAGACTGGAGAGATAGTTAAGCAATTAAGAGAAGTCGCTGCTCTCAAGAAGACCTGACTTTGATTCCCAGCACCCACATCAAGGTGACTCACAACAGCCTTTAACTCCAGCTCCAGGGGATCTAATTCTGTCTTCTGGCCTCTGGAAGCACCTTCACCCATGTGCACACACGCAGATACACACAACTATAATAATAATAATAATAATAATAATAATAATAAATCTTTGACAAATAATGACATCTTTCAGATGTAAGAAAATGAAAATAATATGTCACTAGCAAATCTACATTAAAAGACTAGCTAAAGTAATTTCCCAAAATAGAATAAAATCTTAAATCAAGAAATACAAGACATTAAGCAAAAATTTTGTAGTAGACAAAAATATTGGTAAGTACAATAGACTATAATTCTGTTAAGCTTTCTTAATTTTTTGATTATTGAAACAGATATTATAAATTTGGATGATAAAGAAGCTTAAAGAACTAAAGTTTTCTACACTTTTCTGAACTGGGAAAATGTTCAATCCATATACTGGGTTACATGATGGATATAAGTAATGTAATAGGGCAACTACTAAAAAAGATGCACTCAAAAACAATGACAAATTGGGGCTGAAGAAATGACTCAGTGGACAAGAGTACTGGCTGCTCTTCCAGAGGACCCTGGTTCGGTTCCCAGTACGTACATGGTGGCTAACAACCATCCACAACTCCAGTTCCAAGGAATCTGACGCCCTCTTCTGGTCTTTGTGGGCATTGTACACATGGGTTTACTTACATACGTGCAGGCAAAGCACTCATACACATAAAACAAATTTTTAAAATAAGAAAAAGACAAATAAAGATGGAATTCTAGAATGTTACATATTTCACAAGGAAGCAGATTAAAGAAAATAGAAGTAAAATAAAAACAGGAGAAAAATGAAATATATAGCCCTAATATATTAAGTACTCCAATTAAATACAGAATTTGATAGACTAGATAATAAAAAATCATAATCCAATTAAGTGTTATCTATAATAATTTCACTTCAAAAATAATAAAAAGCAGATGATGAATGATACATATGTACATTCATATATGCATATATAGAGTAAAAGGTTGTGTAAAATATACAATATACATTTTTATCAAAGTAAAATACAAGTAATTCTCTTGATAGTAGATAAAATCTAAAAGCATTTTAGTCTGATAAAGTCACACTTGTCGATTGTTGACCTTAATTCTTGAGCAATTGATGTCTGATTTAGAATGTCCTTTCCTACACCTATGTCTTATAGGGAACTGTCTATGTTTTCTGCACACAGTTTCACAGTTTCAGGTTTCACACTGAGGTCTTTGATCCATTTGGAGTTAAAATCTAATCCTAAGCAATGAATATTACCAAGGGCATAAGATAAAAGTGCTAATTTACTAGAAGACATAGCTATCCCTGTTGTTAATGAACCAAACAACATGCTACAAAACTTGTGGATAAAACCTGATAGAGATTAATAGCCTTTAATCTCACCACTTGGAAGGCAGACGCAGATCTCTGAGTTTGAAGCCAGCCTGGTCTATCAGTTCCAGGCTATCTGGGGCTACAGGGGAGACCCTGTCTCAAAAACACCAAAAAAGAAAGAAAGAAAGAAAGAAAGAAAGAAAGAAAGAAAGAAAGAGA